GGGAGGACAAGGCAGAATCTGTCCCCCATCCAAGGGGGAAGGGAGGACAACGCAGAATCTGTCCCCACCCAAGATCTTGGTTGCCAAGTGACTGATTTCTTTTAATTTGGCTTGTCAACAGGTAAAGAAATTCACTTTAGGTATATCTGTGAGGTTTCAAATCAAACCGACAGAGGGTTTGGTTGTTATGATAAATTTGTGCTCACCCTCTGACATGATGTTGGCCTGCACAACCTACGAAAATGTCCATGTGAACAGTTGGTATTTGTGGCCGACTCTATTCGCCAACATGGACATTTAAAGGAAACAACAGGTCCAATCTCCATAAGACTGGTGCCAACATGATTATAATGACATTATTTGAAGAATTCCTGAAGGCTAAGCATGGGGAAAACCATTACCAAGGCAGTAGAGTCTGCAATCCACTTTTCTAGAGTTAATCCTGGTTATTAATTCTTCAATTTCCAAACCCCAATTTTGCAACGAGTTGCAACAGATTTCCAACAAGCAGGGCACACCAGCACAGACAGCATTACCATCATCAGTATAAAAAAACAAAAAAACAAAACAAAACAGTTAAATCACTTCTGGGCAGACTTACTTGTCCAGTAGTCACAGACTTTCTTCAAGTTAGGAGGGCTGAACTCATACGCACGTAGATTTTCTGTATCGCATGTCCTCCTCAGCGCATCTCTGATCCGAGTGTCGATCTTGTCTTTAGCTGTGTGTTTTCTGTTCATCAGCTTTGTAGCTTCTGAGCAAAGGAAACAGTCCATCCACAGCAAATGTAAGAAAAATCAATATACTCAACTGAAAATGCACTTCAGAAAGCATTTTTTCTCTTTTGATTTTCACCGCCTTGAAATTCTTGGCAAATTCCTACAAATATTCTCGTTATATTTTGATGTCAAACTGTATCTCTGAAATGATTTCTTTAGTAAAATAAAATGCAAATGGTGACGTAAATACATAAATTTGACGTTACCTGTGACAAATGCATGACATCCCTCACAGACCACCTCTGTAAATGGAAAGAAAATTTCACATTTTAATGCCCACACTTATATTTGTCAAAATATTTTATTCCTTCACAGTTACAAATCAGGAGGATATTTGCGTTTTGATTAGAAATTTCACCGGATGTACATAGCCTTATAATTGATCAGTTAAGAATTAAACCAGCTCAATGAACTGTAGACATAGTGTCTACCTTTTTGTCTTTATAGGTGTGAAGTGCCATTGCCAATGTTTGTAACTCTCAAACACATGGTCTAGGGTTCAAATCCAGCAGCTGTTACATTACATTCTTGGGCAAGTCACATTACTCCCGTTTGTCCCTTTACGCCAAGGCGTATAGATGGTTACCCATGAAGGCAGACAGTCGTTTAGTTAGCTTTTTCCATCAACAATGGTAGCATTGAGCTGTAAACTCCCAAATTAGCTGACACTAGGGATTCCAGAATATATTGTGTTGGCCCAGTGAGCAGGGGTAATAATGATGGAGTCACTGCAGTACCTTGAAGGGCCAGTAACGGTGGATAGATATTTCACAAGTACACACCTTGTTCAAATACCTAACATTGCTATTATAGTGAATGAATGACACCCAGATGTTGGGCTTGCAATATGCATTACGCTGACAACTGTTTTTATCTAACACTCATGCTCATTGAAGTCACTGAAGTGCATTTGGCAGCATGGGCCACATTTATGGGGCTACAGGGAGGGTGGGGGGCATGGATTTCATTGTACAATGTGTCAACATTTTGCCAACTTTTCTAGGGTGTGGGACCATGGGGAAAGGGTGAGATTCAGTGGTGAGGCTTGTCATCGGGCTGCAGCAAGACTGAATCAAATTACAGTTAGTTGCATCATGGTCCATGGCATAAAAATACCAAGAAGCCTTAACCACTTGACGCCGGATGACGCATAAACACACAGTTTTCCTTATTTATTCCACAGAGGACGTGGACACTCACTTATAAATTCTTTTTCCATTGCTACGGTTCACATATTAACACCTTGTGCTTGGGTGGGCCAAAGCACGGAAGACGAACCAACACATGGATGCTGTTACTAACAATAATATAGAAATGCTTTTCTTAAGTAATTAGAATGGCATTGGGGAGCTCACACCATACACAAAAGAGTTAAGGGGATCAAAGACCTCCTTTATTTGGGTAAACTGATTTGCTAAGGAGCGAAATCACACTTACAAGAGGGATAAAGTTACAACTAGCAAATCCTTCGTAACAAAACAACTGGCCCCCAAAACACGCATGGCCATGCTGTGGACCTTTTGTACGTGAACAGCTTCATGTCTGGACATGTGCCACAATTTCTACAAGGGCAGTTGAAACATAGCTTAAAAGAAGAACTAAGGGGGCTAGGTTTGACAACACTGATGCCTAAACTCAGGAGTTGTGCCTCCTGATATATTTTATGGGCGCCAGAAATAAATTGCAAAGTTGAAGAATCTGCGGAGAAAAACAAACAAAAAGGCCCCAGCATTTTTTTTCAGGGAAGAAAACCTAACATTAACTGGTTAACACGAGCTTTGTTTTTAGAAATGGGGAGACAATTTGAGTCAAGAATGAAACAAAATATAAATCTCAGAAGTCATATGGATTTGGGAAGAAGGCTCCTCTACGAGGGTACATCCATGCCACATCTCAGAATTGTTACATCCCAACTGCGTTTACAGCCTAAGGAAACACAATAAGCCCTGTCTTGGTGCTAAGACACTGTGCTCCTGTATCCTTGCTCTCAAACCTATATCTTCAAAACATCAAAAGCAATGGAAAGCCCAATCTCAAGCGACTGAAAGCCCAATCTCTGGAAGTGAATAGTTTAAGACCATGAAACTTATACTTGATTGTAAAGGTAGAGCTTTGGGTCAGTTTTACAGGACCTTCTTTTCCTGAAAAACGGAGAAAAATTTGACAACTTTATGAGTCACTGTTATTAACTTTTCTTGTATTTGAATTGATTGCTATTTCATAACATACAGGTACCTTTGTATTCGGAATGGTTATGTAGATATGGGTCGTAAGAGACACTCTCCAGTTTTCTGAGAGAGAGCCATTTCACAACCTGTCTCAACGAAACAATTACACCGACTCAAAATAGTGTAAAGATTTTTGTTTTAATTTTTAGCACCAGAAATTTTTTTCTGTATTGATCTTTATTATTCAGGAAATCAATCATATTTGAGGTTTTACATATATGTGTTAATTTTAGTTGTTTGAAACTCTGTAGCTTCAAAGAAAAGGCCGTTCCAATGACGAACACGTTGTTTACATGTAGGACATTGTTCTGGGGCCAATAAAGGAGCCCAGTATCTTGGCACCAGATACAGAACAGGGGCTATCATACACCCTGTCGGGGCCCCTTGCTCTGTCTCTCAGAGAGGCAGAAATGCATGGGGAGTCCTGAGTTCTCCAGGGGTTGCAATCTTGCCCAACTAAAAACCACGTCTTCATCATCTGTGGCCTGTTTGTTTCACAGAGATTTGAATCTTGGTCAGTAATCTGTCATTGGTTAACACCAGAACCCGCACAACGGATGGAGCGGACGGGATTGACTGAGTGAGATCAGTATAAAACAAACAGGCCCGTGAACTTATGGGGAAGTGGCCCCTTTCTATATGGGCACAAATCATGTACCAAACGTTGGTTCCAAGTGGTCTTACCTTTCGCAAACTTTGTTGGCTTGTACGCCGATGCATAAATTATTGTTAATGCAAAGAAAATGACAGTCAACAGATATTGGTATTGCATGATGATATCCTGGGTCTCTAACAAAGTCCACTTCCTGCAAATGAACAGAAAATAACATAGCTATTTAGTAACAACTCCGTTTCAGGACAGATACCATGGTAACACAACACTACTCCACTGGGCCTAACCCTAGCTAAGGCTAATAAAATTGGATTTATTGTTTCTCGTCAGTGCCCGCAGGAGATTTTGGCCCTGCATCAAAAAATTTCATTATTATTTGAAAAAACAAAAACCAAAAAAAAGGTGACATTTGTCAGAAAATTCAACTCCAAACATTGAAAGTTACCTTCTGGCAATCCCAGTCATCAAAACACAAAAAATCAGGAGCAAAAATTCTTACACCAAGACTTTACCTTAGCAGCATCAACAACCACACGGACTGCAATCCAAAGGTCAAACAGAATCAGACCATGGAGGAAGGACATAGAAGGAGTTGCAACTCAGGCACTTCAAAGTGTTCAATAATGGTTGCTGCCGAGTCATACGAATAATAGACAACATTCCAAAAATGCCTGATTACTGCCTGCATCTTAGCCAGACAATCAGGGCCAGTAATACCCTAGTAATACTTGTAGTTTTTGCTTGCAATTAAATACAAATTATTGCTTTGACCAGGAAATAAAGAGAGAAAAATCCCTGATATTAGACCTACTTTTGTCATCATAAATAAACTTTTGAAACTTTGATACACTATTCCATTATCCACGCAAAGTTTGTAATTTTATTCTCCTCCGTCCAATACATCAGTGTTCAAAGACTTGGTATGAATTTGGCTAAGAGTGGCCTACAAAATGTTCACTACTACTGGAAAGCTTAGTTCATTAGGAACAAAATGCGCTATTTCAACACAGGGAGTGATCGTGAAATTTCCTAAAATACGCTTTTGTACAAATGCCATAATAAACATGGTTCAAACAAAACAAAAATCTTGTAAACAAATGGTCCATTTATTCCCAAAATAACTCCAGAAGAAAGAGCTCATTAAGGGCAATGACTGCACATATAGATTAAGGGCACACAGCGTAATGCAAGCAACTGCGCAAGCATTCAATTTGATGTTGTCAACTTGTCATGAGATCATACCAAGTACCAACAAAGGCATGAATATTCAATTTCCTATACCTCAGTACACAAAGTTTTAAGGATGCAGATTACCATCGACAAATTGCAGCAGTGATCATAGGGTACAAAGGGGTCTTGTGGTTGTGAAACAGATGGTGTGTAGCAAGCATTCGCTGCGCTCTGGCTATGGACATACCAGACATGCCAGAAAGCGGTAATTGGCCAGATGTTACAGCCCGGGCAGTTCAAACTCCTTCTGTGTCCTTCCTCTATGATCAGACCAGTGCACAATCACGAGTGACGGACCACGTATATGTAGGTCTTTTTCCATATCTTTTCTTTGTCTCTGGCTTTGGCTGATTGAAGCCAGATGAAGTCAACCAAAGACTTTGTCCAGGCTTCATGAAGTCAAACCTCAACCTGTGACCGCTATATCACATGATGTGGACAAAATTTATGCACAATGTGCAACATGTGATGAACACTGACCAGTGAAAATGCACAACAGGTGTTGGTCTGTTTCTTGCCTGCTACCCAGAGTGTGTGCATGTACTGCGATTCTCTTCCGCATCTGGCCACCATTCGTGGATTGTCATGTTCAAGTACTGATATAATGAAAAATGATCTTTACATTGGTAGTGACTCACGTGGGAAGGTTGGGAGTGAAGTGGAATTAGATAGTAGATGTGGGAATATATTAAAGAAACATGTTCATTCAAATGGATGGTCACGGTGGAGCACAGAGCATAGAGCAAGAACACAGTCCTAAATTTTCATTATTAAAAGATGCCCTCCACCCATAGAGCAAGGAAAGTCCTTGCTCTATGAGTATCTTTTTTTAATAATGAAATTGTTTGCTTCTTTTCTGCCAAATGGCCAATGCCTCCCTTTAAGTTTTACTGCACAGTACCACATCGAAAATGATTTGGATGCCAAATACATGTATCAAGCAGCTTTTCATGCATGTGAAGAGGGTATTATTTTTCCATGACGGAAAATAACGAATTATACCAATGAAAAAATGCAACTAAATTTATTTTTAAAAACCCTTGACGAGAAACAATGAATCAAATCTCATTGGCTCAGGCCACTGTAACTTAAACGTCGGCTCATTTTTGGCCTGTTTCATCCGCATCTAAATCATGTGGGCCTACCGGTTGGCCCCAAAGTCAAAAAAGCAACGAAAATTGCCTGTTTCATTCGTTCGTCATTATCATCATCTTTTCCAGAAGTATATTTATGGCTGCTCAGAATCAGATCTCCATACTCAACAACTTTCATACTCACTTTAAAATTTCAACAAATAACAGGTTCCGCGAGGAAGAAGCAAGACATTCAGATCACGGAGGAAGGTTCAGACTGAAATGCTAAGCGTATGGATTTGTAATTGTTGACCTACACGTGTACATATGTACATGTACATACGGTGTGCGACAGCCAAACACTTCGTAGACCTACCCTTTGAACTTTGATGCCTGGCATAGTAGACTAGCCTTCCAAGTCAGCTACAAATGATTTCAATATTGGTTTGGTAATAACGAGAGTACAACGCAATTCAGTTTATCTTTCTACGATCCACAAGGGTAGATTTACTTGTACGCTATTGAGGAACTCGAAATAAATGTAATTCACTCTTAAGGATTCAAAGAAAGACACGCAGACTCAGTAGTACGGAAGACTGGTACTCCGTCTTCTTATTACCACCACGTGAATGGTTTTGTATAATCAGTCTGCTGATTCCAAGAGGCACGGCCCCTCTGACACGTGCAAGAGGTAGTGCAGACAAGCTAGCCAATGAGAACTCGCCACGTCGCCGAATCAATCCACGCAGACAACTAATGACCAATGTGAATCGGCAACTTGTCAGTGTGGGCGGGGCATGGTAGTTGCCTCACTATTTCGTCTAGGGGGCGTACCCCGGTGCTTACTTAAGAGCTTGTGAGTAAAATCGTAACCCGCCAAGCAAATAAGACTTTTGTCTTGGTTTATTTTATGCATTTCAGATTGGTCTCTGAGTGTGATTTTCTCGCAAACTTTTGAATAAGCATAAAGTCAAACTAAAGTGCCAGTTTATGCGCATTTGACGTGGAGAACGCCGAGTACGCACATCAAATTTAGTATGGAATAGTCATTGATAACGGAAGAATAAATCATTTATATGGTCTGTACGAGTACGCTGAATGCGTGTAAAAACCAGGTTGTAAAACCTAGTAGCAACTATCTTTCTTTCGTCGGTGAGGGTGCACTTCAGCTCAGGGCGATTTTAAAGGGACATTCTTCCGCTTGATGCGCGCGTGCATTTGGCAAATCATGACACCCTATTGGTCGAAGAGGCATATAACGTGCGCGTACCACTCGTCCACGAGCGTTGGTACCAGCGCAGTAAAGTCTTCTAATTCTGGTTGTCGAATACGTGCGCCTCAAAGAGTCTGCAACGTGTTGGCTAATCACGACGTGCGAAATTCGTCGACACTTTCCAAACGCGCATTTGGTCGACAGATTTCTCGCATCGTGATTGGCCAACGCGTTGAAAACTCTTGGAGGCGCACTACTGTGAAAAGCTCGTATTACAAAAATAATAACGATGTATGTACATAATTTTTTTTCAGACTCGGTGTTTTTTTATTCAATGCATTTGATGCCTCATGGTATACACATTAAGTCCCAGAGAACCATTTACAAAACGAAACCTTAATGTTACGGGTTCGCCTCAAATTCTACACGTGATCAACAGGGAGTAATAATTTGAATTACCATTTGCACTGGCTGTAACAGTCTTGTTCGAGTAACAAGATGAGTTAAAATGAACACCATGTGCAATTTCACTCAAGCCATGAAAAGAAACAAACCAGGCCTTTTAGATTCTATATAGGCAGGAATAAAACAGCTACCTCCAGACACTACAGAACTGTTTCACGTCACTTCAGTCTGGGACATAGACCTACCATGTACATTGTACAGCAACGAGATTGAAGTAATTTGTGTCAGGGTGCACCTTGGACGAATGTCACTGAGCACTGTAAAATATAGTGACAAACTCAACTGCAGACCTTTGCGACTTATTTCTGTTTAAAAGCTTGTCAACTATAAATTTCATTCCACTTTTTCTCTATAAGGGAGGGGAGTAATTGAGACAAATGTGGATATCAATGCATTATAAATGAGTGAATTAAATTGTCAAAAAAATTCACGACGGGAAAACTTATGTCGAACCAGATTTTGAATTCTGATTCCTTAAAATGTCATTTGATTTGGCGGTTCTCAGAACAAAATGTGCTCCTAAAATACAAAGTCTGAATGAAATGGCTAACAAGCCATATTTCAAGAGATGGTACTAACAAATATGTTTAAATCTTAACATTTTGATCACCGTGGCATATAGAAAAACAGCACAGAACTGAAACAGCACAAGTGTTATTTTCCCAACCTCCCCCAAAAGACAAAAACCCAAAACAAACAACCCCCCCCAAAAAAACCAAAACTGAGGAAGGCTACAATTGACACTATTCAAAAAGGAGTCATCTAAAACGGTCAAGGCTTTGTTTCAGAAAAATATCTCACTTTCATGCCTTAGTACCTCTAAAAAAACGCTGCCACGCCCCCAAACAAACCCCATTGTTTTTAGATGTAGCTCATGCTAACTATACTAACGTGGTGGACAAAACAACTACATGTATGCGTAGACTGATTTAACTTCTCACAGTGTATATTGTTAATGGTGTTGGTCTGCACAGAAGCAGGCAGCATTTTGAACCATACCCACAAAACTCTTATTTCACAAATACAAGGCAAAAGGCCCTGACCAAAATTCAAATTAAATCTAGCCACAATTTTCCTTGAAGATCATACCACAGGTATTTTTCAAGTTGACACTTAACCTCTAAACTGTCAAATAGCACACATATTTTTGGGGAAAAAAGATTACAATTTCAGAGACTAAATATATGATATCTAAGAGAGGGGAACAACGAAGGAACAAAAACTTGAAACTAGCAAAGATACATGCAAGTTCAATTTCAGAGAATTGTTTTTTTTTTTACATTATCAAGGAAATCCAAATTACATACAGACGGCAAATCAAACTGCAGGGACCCACTGAACACTCCATGGGATTGGCCAAGCGTATGTAGCTTGATACAACCCCTCTGATTGGATATCAGCTGTATGTGTTATTTAATTGAAGCATTTAAAATTTGCACTAAAAATTGGGAACTGATTGTGAGTGCATCTATGCATCTGCTATCAAGAGCAAGATATATGAACTTATGAACTGTGAAACTACAGTACATGTACATACTTACATAAACAAAAACCCAAATAAGAAAAATGCAACATGAAGAGTTGAATAAATAAACATATTCGAAAAACTCAAGTGTAAAGGAAAATATAAGACAGAACATAAAGCAAAAAATGATAGAACTACATGTAAAAAAAGAGTTATGTAGCTATGTTCTAAGAGAGTACTCCAGTCTTCAAACCTGTGTTATGTGGCACGGAACAAATGTACACAGTTCTAAAGTAAAAGTCACAAAAACCAAAAGGTAAACAGTGCTCCTCAGATACACATATCTTCAAATTCTGTAGCAGCAGCCCATGCCTCAAAGAGAACCAAAATATAGCTACAGCAAAAAGTCTTAAAATGCAACACTATAACAGGAGAAACGATTAGGCATTAAAATGGTTAACTTATGATACATGCCCATATTATTTATGGAGGGGGCAAAAATAGCACACCATACAATGGTTTTTCTACACCATTTGATAGAACACCAACATCTAACAATACTTAGAACAGTGGATTACCACAAGGCAAACCATTGCACTCACTGTTTTTGTTTGGGTTTTAATCTATACAGGCTACTATAGACACATTTCAATAATTCAATATACTGAACAATAAATATAAATGTATTGTTAAACAAGGGTCTCTGGTGTCTATTTTTTTTACTTTTGCTTTTCTCATTTTTTTTTTTCAATTTAATACTGTGTTATTTTTAAGACTTCATAGCAAAAGACAACAAAACGACGAAAAACCCCAAAGTTAAGACTGTACAAATGTTACAGACGGCAATGGACTTGTTTACAGAAATAAATAAATAGGTTATATGCAACGATAAACTGGAAGAAGTGCAATGCACATCAGTGTCTACTGTCACTTCCACACAAGAGTTTAATATTCATGGGCAAGCGTTTTAGCCAAGGGTGTTAAAGATGAACAATTTTCATCTGTTAAATAACAAAAGCATCTACTTGAAAAATAAAACAAAACCAAGAAACAAACAAACAAACAAACAAATTCAAACAATGAGACGCTGGCCTCTGGTGATAATGTCTATGGCAGTAATTTGGTACATATCTGACTAGTTTAGGCAGACTGGAATTTCAGGACAAGCTGTTTTTTCCTTCTTGTCACTGAGGGGCACACTTTGGTGTTCGTGAAACAAAAAAATTGCTTCTAGGGTCATTATTGTGAACAGAACCCAGGACCGCAGGTTCTTGTGAACAGACCATGCAATGTCAGCATGCTGAGCCAGTGACCCTAGAAATCAGACACGCAGTTTTGATTCCTGGTAAAACGACTCCTGAATTTTGATTGGTTGTAGGTCATCCAGAGATTAAATGCTCATCCAATCATGAAGTAGTACGAGGCACTGAATATTCATACCAAATCTGACTGGTAAACTAAACAAACAACAAACCTCTCAATCTCAGTGGCACACTCAGTTTTTCGAACATTTTTTCATATATGACCCTGAAATAATAGCACCACATTTAGCACAGGTAACAATATGTCTGAATAAATAACAAAGGTCTACCAAGAAGGAACAAAACAGCTACATGCATTAATTTGTGAAGAAAACGTGGACAAAAGGTCAAATTGGGCCATGAAGGTTGTACAACTGTCCTTCACTGCTAGCAAATAAAACGACAGAGAAATACTGATTAAAAACTAGCAATTAGCAAAATATTGCCACTAAAACTTGAAAGTTATCTAATACTCTCGAGCACTACTTTTTTTTTACCCTTTAAAGTCTATATACAAAAAAAAGCCGAGGCATTAAAAGCCTGTGCTTTACGTGCGTGCATGGAAGAATACCACACTGCTCACATTGTTCAAGTCAGGTAGGACACTGTTCAAAAGACACTTGTACTTTCTATCCTAAAATATTGTTTCTTTTCTTGAGTTGGTCATTTGAAGCACATCATGGACTAAACAATGTCTGGTGATGGCACTGTCATTCAAACTTTAAGACACTAGTTTTGATAATCGAGGTATCCAGCAATTTGTTTTTATGGTGACAGATATTCTAAACAGTGACAGGTAATCGGATGCATATGCTAAATTGGACAAGTGTATCCACTCAATTAATTAGAATTTAACAGCACAAACCGAGTCCCAGGATTTTTAGCGCAGCTTGAATTTTGCTGATAATTGGGCCAGTCGTTTTCTTCACAAATTACCAACAGCTATCAGTTTGGGGCTATGTCGCCAACAAACTCTTGGATAAAGTGGCTGGCATCTGCTAAAAAAATGCGCATTAGGAAAACGTTCCTTTGATAGTTGAGCAATTTGAATTTGAAAGAGAATACCTGCCAGTTCTCACTTAAAGTCAGTAAACCCTGTTTGGATTTCTTTAGCTGCTTGTGCAAAACCGTGGTCACACTTGGAGTAATATTTTTGTAAAGTTGCAGAGGAAATAAAATTTTGAGTAATTTTCTGAGTTACCCTGTAGGAAAACGAGTTGTCTTCGTAATACTTGTTAGTAATATAGAGACAGAGTTGAAACTTAATTCAATAATAACTGAGATTCAGACAACAGTCAAAATCTGATTTGTTTCTGCTCTCCAGACAAGTTTCTTATCTGACTTTTTTTTTTGCATTTTGCAAAAGTTGGCCATTTCTTTTTAAGTGAATATTGGGCATTTTAAAACTTCTTGAGTTGGCATTCTTTTCCCCACACTCTTTTCAATTCACTTTCCATTCAGTAATTCTAACATCAAATACAGACCTAACAGAAAAATCTGTCGATACAATACACTGATACTTTTAACAAATCTACAATCTTAAAGACGATCCTGTTTATATATTGGTCCTTCCAATGATCTTTGACAGGTGACTTAACCCACGATTCCAGATGTTACAATCCCTATAAAGTCCACTTCTGAAATCTGATCTTTCAATTGCCTAAATGTGATTCTGATTAGTCCTGCATCACAGGTAACTGGTGAAATAGCTGGTGCTCTGGCTACTCACGAGCAGCGCACTATACAATGTCATATTGCCAGTGAAACATGGTTGGTACTCTGACAATTCTCCAGCAGAATGCGTATGAAAAAAGTGAAGGGACCGGTCAAGCCCAAGCAGCGCTAGTGCCCTTAGCACTTTATGCTCAAACACGCAATCTCACTGAGTCAGCTGGTACTCTGAAGAGTTGGCATCCAGCGAAATCAGTACGACAGTCAGTTTGAGTAGCCATCCTGTCTGATTGTCTCAGCATTTCCTGACAAAGGTGCAGCACGCAGTTAAAGTGTCCAATTGTTACATAACAGGCAGTTTAAACATTCTTAAAATTAATAAGAAGAGTTGTTCTGTATAATTTATTGGCAGCACAGTTCTTGTTATTGTTTGGTTTTGTTTAGTATGGCGTATAGCGGGCATAGCCTCCTCTGTAGATACCAGTCTGCTGAAATGAAAGGAAATACAAATACATTCAATGAAAATCAGATATTATAAAGATATTTTGATACATTTCAAAAACAGAACCTTGGAAAGACAGCGTAATTCAAATGAAATATCATGCAGAACATACCGAAAAAGAGACTGTTTGAAATCAGACAATATTTTAGAAGTTCACGTCAAGGTGGAGAAAATGCAAGGTTTCCCCAAAGTCATTCTATAAGTCTTTTCCCTGATACTCCTTTTGATACGGAAAAAGAATTGTATGTCAAGAAAAAGTAAACACTCATGGCCTGTTTTGTTAAGAAAACCGTGTTTCAATAAAGATATTTGTGTGTATTTGCGTACAGAAAAGGGTATATACCATGAGATTATATTGAAACTTGGTGGCCTGTGGATATCTTAAATTGGTGTGGAGTTTTGGTGGATGTGGCAAACAAATGAAAATTATTTCTTTCTTTTAATATAAAAATATCACAAAACTAAGCAACTGAAATGATACAAATATATTACATATTAAAATGAGTTGTATCTTAACTGAGACAAATTATATCAAGATAAAACTAACACTGTGGAAAGCTGGTCACTACTGAAACAATGTTAATCGTGTTGCTTAATCTTTACTTATGGGTGACCGTCAATGGCATAGTGAAGATATAACAGTTTCGGGAGGGATTAAGTGATGTTATTGTCTTCTCTGTTGTGAAATGACAAATAGTTCTGGTCCCTAAGGTACTCATTTTAAACAGTTTTTGTTTTGTAATTATTACACACACAAATTAATTCAAATTAGAATTTTTTCAAACGTTTTGTTAACACCAAGGAAAAGTCCAAACTTTTCATGCTAGCATTAGGAATTACCTCAAATTCTAAAAATGAAATGTTAATTTAAATCCATTTTTTGACGATGAAAACTAGAAAATGTGTTAAAAATGAACAACTTGCAAGCATGCTAGAACACTCAGCAGAAATGTACGATTTTGGCAAGGCATATCATTAAGCATTTTACATAACAGATACCAGGGAATGCTTTGGTAACACCACACAGTCACTGTCTTGCACCAAATTGAAAACCAAAATTGAAAAAATGTGCAAGGAAAAATCAAACATTAAAGGACCATATCAGTGTACGACAGAATTGTGCACAGCAGCTGAAGTAAAAATGAACCAATACTGGAAGCCCTTTGACTTCAGGGGCATCAGTGAAGACATGCCGCTGATGATGTGACTTGCTCTCATGCTTCGTGTGACATGAATGGTTTATGAGATGACTTGAGTATCCATCTTGTAACTACCCCATATAAGACATCAATTCAGACCATTGTTGCTTTGGGCAAAGTTTTTCCTTTGTTTTCCAAACAATGTTCAAAAATCTTTGAAATTTCTCTTCTTCTATGCAACTATCCCCTCTTTACATTTCTTTTAATGTTTTCTCTGGCAATCAAATCTGCAGAAGTAAACCACATCCCGCTTTTCTTTAAAAGCTCTCTGAAATGTTCTTTACTTTTGAGACAGTGCATGAATATGTGTAGAAATCAAGTCACATTCCCGAGTGCAGTGCAAGTTTTTTTGACGGTGAAATTCCAATACAAGAAATCCAAACAGAATCTGAATCATAACCTGAATTCAGTAGCATTGAGATTACAAAACAGACACAACAGCAGGACTTGACTGCAGCTTGTCAATTCTAAGTTTGTATGGTTTGATGTTATAATCTACAGAAGCAGTAACAATTTCAGTGTCATGGTAAATTCACAAATCCACTGATGAGGCCCTTTAATGAGCTACACAAACATTTACAAGTACCAAAACTTCAAGAACACAAAATGATTGAAAGCTACCACTGTACATTTAACCATTGATCAATGGGACCAGCAACAACAAAAATAAATCCTATATGATCAATCCAAGACCGATGTGTTTGAAATTTGACAAAGGAATCCTGATTGAGTTCCCCACCCCCCATTATCCTGACTTTTCCCTAGGAGTTGAGATTTTTTTTTAAATTGTGGGCTTCCCAAATTTATACCTCATAGTGACACATATTCCGATCATTGACATTAATACATCGATATGTGCACTTTTCTTGCCTTCAACCTCTGGTGACCACCGTTTTACCGATGTTCTGCTCCAATCTGCAGCCAATGAATTGGATCTCAAGTCCTTGCTTGGATCACATTCCCCCTCTCCCTGCAACTCTCTGGGGTTTTTGCTGGAAGTCTAAATCAGTGCCTTTTCCCCAGAGATGCTTAGCTCCAATGTAGTACAGTGACTCAATCTACTTTCAAGGGTCACTGGCTAGTTGCCAACATTAATTTTTCAGTTGTCGGGAAAAGGATTGGTTTAAAACACAGTTACGGTTTTTCTAGGTCTTGAGGGCGGTAAACCTTGTAAATTTGGTTTAGTCTCCTCTATTTATTTCAGCTAAAAACAACCAGAGATCTTGATTGTTTTTACATTCCGTTGTAGCTGGTCACATGACATAAGACCTCTCAGAATTTAAACATTGGCAGCTGTTGCTTGTTGCTTGTCTTAGGCCATGTCTAAATGGGGTAGTTTGTGGCAATGACTTAATTTATGCCATTGGTGTACTACAGTCTAAAGACATAGCCATAAAAAAGAAGCGTGCATATCAGACATGGTCTAAGCTTTTCAGTTACGTGGAACATGCTCTCAGAAGAATAGCCAAAAGAAAACTGCCACTGCCAAATTCTGAAAGGCCCCACACACAGGAAATACAACAATCTAGCAGCAAATACTTTTCGACAGATATTACGAAATAAACACCACCAGTGAACAAAAGTGAGAACCAACCACACCAAAAAGGGATTAAAAAAAAAAAGGAACAAATTTCCACACAACCACCAAGAATGGATGATAATCCCATGGCATTTACCCTTGTCGTCAGGGAGGGGTATCTTACCCCATACGCCGTCGCCGTGGGACCGATTGTCGGGTGGTAGGGGTCGGCTGTGTATTCCCTGCCATAAGGGATGGCGTAGGCTGTGGGCGTGGCAGCGTACCGACTGATGTAACCTCCGTAACCAGCCGCTGCACTCTGTAAAAGAAGATCAGTCTATGAAGGAGAAATAGGACAGAGAGATGGACACGTCCGGTGGGGGGGGGTGGACAGTGGAGGGGCCACAGGGGAGCAGGAAAGGTGCAGGACGTAAGACAAAGGATGATGGGAAGAACAGCGGATAGGGGTAAAGGATTTGGGGGAAGTTGATGGAGGGTGAAAGAAAGGGAAAGAAAGGTGTGGGAAGAACGGAGTTAGTATCAAAATGCACAGCAAACCAACCGAAAAATCTTGCATGCAAACATGTCAGTTTTTTATTGACTTACCTGGAGATCAGTGGCAGATGGGAAGGAGGAGAGGGGAAAGGGGATGTAGTGGGTGTCGTCCCTTGGATAAATGGGTGTACTTGACCCAGTACCAATTGGGCCTGTGCCCAGTTGATGGTTAGAACTTATGACTAAAATTTCTCATGCAAAAAAGCACACAGGGCTTCCAATACGGGAGTTCATTGATGGCTTTGAGTTGCTTTGGACAGTATTTGTGGTACTGTTTGAACCAAAGTTTATCAGGAGGGGTATCTTAGAAAAGGTCATTTCTTGTTTGTGCATGCATGCAGTGATCCCAAATTTTCTTTGTGTGAGGCATTATGGATAAATAGCAATGTTGATGCCTTGTCGATAACAGTCTTGCCACTGATCTCTGCCCTAGGTGAATCTGTATTAACACCACTGTTGTTAACAGAACCATACCAAACTTTGCAACAAGAGGATTTGAACCTGCGACCAACGGAAAACAATACCAGAGCTCCACCAACAGATCGATCTGCTTCTCAAAATGGCTGGCACGTTGATTGAAAAAAACTGCCAAATCAGGGCAAGCTGATTTGCAGAGCAGGTGTGACAAGATTCAGGTAGGCGGAGGTCCAAACCCTGCTTTTGTTAACTGTTTTTAATGCTCTAAACATTAATTTATTCACCATTTTTTTCCCCACTTTGTTTCCTTCCCTTCATTCCAACTCACAAATACCAGGTTCTACACAAGAGTACTAATCACATAGAGTTCACTGCATCACTCAAACTCGTAACACTACAAAGGTTGTTGTACCAGAAATACGATAATTTTATCTTAATTTTTCATCCATCTGTCTGTCTCTTGAACATGTACATGCATGTTTACAGAGATGTCCCCCGGTTTCAAATAAAACCAAAGTTCTATTATCTTGATGAATCTACTTTGGTATTTTCTTAATCTGGTGTGTTTTCTTAATCTGATGTTACATTTTTAATGAAACAAAGACTTAATATTTATTTTTTGCTTTTAGGTGACGTTATCTTAAACAATACAGCAATAAGCATCCACAAACAAAATATAAGTGCTTCACGAAGCATGCATACTCGTATGTGGTGTTAATGAACTTAACGACAAAACAGAAACAAAACAAAGAACAAAACAAGAAAGGAAAAAAAAAAATCTAAATCATGCAATTTCTGCAGTCTTGCGTTGGAAAAGTTAAAGTACTTCAGGTGTGAAAAAAATCTTTCTATGCCCAACAAGAAATTCATATGAAATTTTCTCAAGGGATCCACAATCAATTATGCACATAGTCATCAGTAAATGCTGGAGAGGTGAAATGCGACAAGGCCTAAGAGCAAATTTGAGATATTTCATTACGGAAAGTGCTTGGGGCTTTGGTGTGGAAGCCAGACTGGGGTCCAGGGAGAGACTAAATGAAGTGCCTTGGGTGATAATTGGCCTGCACTGAAATATGGTCTGGTTTCAAACTCTTTAAAGCTAAACTGTTCTGAACCAGTCATCAGGTATGCCCATCAAATGAAGTCACAACAAAGTTTGAAATGCCATGGTGAGGTTTCGTGTTTGAAATACAAAAGCAACAATCTCAGCACTCCCCAACGCATATGCATTTGAGAGTGTCCATGGACTTATTGTTTTGGGCATTTTGGAGGCCTGTTTTGGAGTAGGGTTTTGACTTTCAAGTGCACTCCCTTACGATTTTTGTACATAAGCATGCCTTCCACAATATAAAAATGTTTTTAGACAGATGGTGGGTATTTTAGCTATAAAATTCTTTCACTATATCCATTATTAAAATGCACAATACACTGTACATGTATCTGCATCATTTCAAGGGAATAAGGAGCATGTGACATGATCAGGGACATCCCAGGAACAATGGGTAAAACCTGTCCATTAATAGGTGAAATACATGTACCAAGGCAAAACAAGGAGTAAGTTCTTAGGGCAATTGTTCCCTAAATTTTTGTTTAGCTAGTAACAAAGATACACACGACATGCAAACGAAAACATGTGACCAGGTCACGACTACAGAAACTATCTCTAAATTATTTTCCTATGCAAGAAACACGGACCCTCAACCGTACACAACCAAAGAACTCCACAAAATGTCGCAGCCAAGTGCTCAAATGCAAAATATGGACCATGTCACCTAGGATGTCCTACTTGTAGGTTACCGACAGGCACAACAATAAGCATTTTTCTTACATGACCCACAACTTGTAATTTTGTAAATAACTGTGACGATAATGTGGTGCAAAGACAATTTCACTTGAATGCGCACATGTAGGTTCTATAATCTCGTGAGTTAAAGTTTGACACCTGTTGATGAGTAGTGGAAAGAGTACAAAGAAGGTACTCAACACGAGCACATAAGTAGGTAAGCACGTCTAACTCAAGCGATGTTACATGTGGAAGATTCTGTGATCTTGTGAAAGGTCACAGGTGCTCGTCAAAACTTGGAAACTTGGGCGATAGTGTCTTCAACCCGAACAAAGGTGTGAGTGACAGTGTTACCTGGTATCGTTCTGGATAGAACGCCTCTGGGTAGATAGCTGTGGCCGTGGTGTAGCCAGCCACAGGGGGCGGGGCAGCGATTCGGTAGGCGGTGTAAGCACCCCTGGTGGCCCGGCCTCTGCCTATCACTGGCGCCCTCAGGGCACCCGCTGGCAAAATCGGTAGTTCCACTGTGTTAAGGAGGCATCGTAAAAGGTAAAAGTATGCATAAAAGCACCTGTGGGGATTTATATCTGACATCGTCTACCTTCATTCTTGTGTCTTGTATTTATCATGACTCATTAAGGAGCACCTCTAAGGACAGCATGTTTTCTCTGATTTATCTGTTCAAATTTTGCTTGGCATGCACAAGGGTTTATCCACTATGAATACAGGTGTTTTCTCTGTTTTGTCCGAATGACGCAATCTACATTCAGAATTCGCATCTTGGCATGAACAGAAAAGAGCCCTTTTAAGTTTGTTATAGATGAGCTCTGAAGACCAGTGACACTGTGTTCAATTTGGATGCTTCCATATTTATTTGAATAGATAAAATCAGAGAAAACATGTTTTCTTTAGAGGTGCTCTTTGAAATACCAAAAAATCTTCTCTTTTGGCAGTCAATACAAGATCCACATGAGCTTTGTGACTTATAACACTTTCAAGAAAGTCAATGTGTCCCAGGCTCAATTTGTACAAATGATTATTTTCTCTGCTTTAAAGGGGATGGGCCATGTAGGTTAAATCGGTGTTACATGATATTTTTCAACCATCTGATATACAATAATTAAGATTAACCCCTCTTTTATGCCATTAAATTAGCAAAATTGGCATTTTCTGTGTGCTTTTTTCAGTCTCCGCCTGGGCTCTTTGCAAAAACTTATCGAAATTGATCAATGAGGGCAGCAGACAAATCTAGGCAAAAATGTGATGTCATTGGATGGACTTGACTTTCCAGACAAGAAACGTTCCGGCAAGAAAGTTGATTGGTCTGCGTAAGAATAATGTTCTCTGCTCTGGCGCGTAGTCGGGTATTTAACTCGTACATGTCAAGTCACACACATTTGGTCTTGTTTCCTAATGTTTTCTGCTCTGGCGCGTAGTCGGGTATGTAACTCATACATGTCAAGTCACACACATTTGGTCTTGTTTCCTATGCCCTTCTCTTAACACAGGGGCACAGCTATTGGACAAGTAACTAGATGCTTCACGTTCATTTTGTTTTGCATCGCGCCGTACACATGCAATAATTTCTATTGTGAATTGTGAATTTCAAAAGAATGGCGATAAACTCTGTTGTCAGTGGCTGTTGTTGCAATCAAAACAATTCCCTGGAGAGTAGTTTTTGTAGATTCCCAAGTGACTTTTCACATCAGCGTTTGTGGGTTAGATTTGTGGATAACACACAATGAGATTTTTACAAGGACTCAAAATTCCAAAATATATGTATATGTGCTTGTTTATGTACACGTACCGGTACTGATGTACACCCATACATGTACTACGCCTACCATGTAAAATGGGACTATATTGCACCGGTGCACGTGGACTATTTTTATTTTGTGATGATACCAAGCAAGTGACTCGCTGTGCACGTTGAAAAAAAATTGTTGGAATGGAACACCAACTTTGACCAAGTAGGCTAGCCTATAACCATGGACAAAAACTACTTGTACTATACAGCTTTCGAAGAGCCAATGGTAGGACAATAACATCTTTTCAGAAAAACAAATTTTATAATGCTGTGGCAAAAAATCATGACCAGTCAGTGTTTTGTTGTCAATCATTCGGGTCGCCGCCATGCCCGTGGCTAACAGCCTCGAATGCAAAATCTCTTCCTGAGTGTATTTTGGTTCGAACTGACAAGGCAATATTTCTTGTGCCTCATCAGCTCCTTCAATGTCACTGTCTTTGTCAAATGAATAAGACAAACATGACAACTGATCGCTGTGATCGGAAAAAGCATCAATGCTGGAATTATCGTCGCTTGAGTCTGACATGATGGCATGTGCTAACGCAAACGCTACTACATTACGTACATGTACATGTTGATGTGTAGTTGCATAACAGTAAACAGTCGCCGAATAAAGGCCTCCGTCCTATGATGTCACAATTCTTGGGAATTTCTTCAGACAACTTTCTGTACCCGACGGCGGCTGTTTAGCTTTTGCTCAGAGAAGGGAGTGACATATTTCCGCGCATTATGAAATTATGCAAATGTATTTTCTTGTTTTGTTTTATTTGCTGATGCATGTTTTACAAGAAATCTTCCCAGCACGGCCCATCCCCTTTCACACACTGGCTAGCGAAAGTCACGGCCAGAAATGCTGTTATGCAATCATTTATTGACAAACCCAAGGGAAGAGACTTGAAGGGTTACATGATGGCGCAATGTGGAGCACTTGTTTTCATAAAATTGTTCTGTCGATAAACCCTGTATGGTGTGACCGCAAGCTACTCCATGAATGAGAGAGAGATGGTAAGATTTAGGATTTCAATAATTTCAATGGTATACTTTTTGGCTCAACTTGTTTTTTGGCAGTGTGTCTTCCAGCCATTGTTTATTTTCTTGTCATAGCAATGATTACGAAGCACATTTACTGGGTGATATTACATGCAATTACCATGCACAGACATTTGACACAAAATATTTGCCTACAATGCTTAGCCCAAACAGGGTACCATCCAAAATGTCGCACAGCGTGTATATCTCGTCACTGGTTCCCAGCTAGTTTTAGGGGCTCAGCAAAGAATTAACAGGAGTAATTTCTGCTTTGCTACTCCACGTAATCTAACCATGTTTGAATGAAATGGCTGCAGCTAGAAATAATACATGCACCTCTGGAAGGTGGCTAAAGCTATATGTACTACTTAATGGCATCTGTAAGTGCATGTATTATTTAAGCCATAGCCAGATCATTTGAACTTGGACATGGCCGTTCTTTGCGCTCACCAGTGCTAAGAAGCTCGGTACCGGCAATCGACTTTGGTGTCTTGTTCGTCATGACCCGCGCTGTTGCATTGTTCACCTAAATTGGGAGGCAAAAAACCGAGGGAAAAGCGTTAATAGAGTCCAGAAGTGGTGGGATTTTAGATAACAGCGCCTTCTGTTGATCTGATGGCTTCATGAGGACAAAGTTTGTTTTGCAAAATGCAGTCAATTTTTTAGGAAAAAGGGACAGGAAAAACAGAATACATGTATTTCTTTTGTGTGAGCAAGATTTGATCTAGTAACTGAGAAAAATCCACTGACAGACATGGCTATGTATTTCATCTTCCCTTTATGGAAGATAAAATTATTTAGTAGAATGAACATATTTGAAAAGACCAAATCTTTGAAAAATGTAGCATTTTGAATACATCTGAAATTTACATTTTTCTCTTCTTTTTCCAGACTATTTTAAATTTCTCATTCACTCAACTCCCAATAGTCACAAAGCTTACTTGCCATCACCAGATCATCAAAAAACGCTGTTTATCTGAAACCGATTTCTTTCAGGATGACCAATCAATGTCCAAACACTTCACTTGCACCAAATTTTAGGAAAAATACGGGTTGCATAATCAGATATCTTTGTCAATCAAGCTTGAATTTGATTGGTAGTTTAGACAATGTAATCTTTAAGGAATGTGAATGGGCTCTGATTGGTCAGTCATTGTCGCCAAGCTATTAATTAATTTATCACACGTGAGAATCAGGGGGCAGAGTTCGAGTAACTAAAGATGTCTGTCGAATTGCCGACGCCCTACCAGCATGACGCTCTGAGATATTCTTAGTCTTCTTGGGAATTCGGTGAGATGTTTTTCTCATCTGAAGGGGAGGACGTTGGATAATTTCAATTCATCAATCATTGTCAGTGTTTCTAAATATTTACTAAACCTGAACATGAAGGTTTTCTCCAAAGCTTTCAGCCCTACTCACTTCCTGATAGCAAAGAATAAGGACGGTTTGTGAAAAATAGTTGGTGGTATTTCACCAGGAATAAGAAGTTCAGAATCAACTGTTGCCTTTAAGTTGTGATTCTCAAGGATCCCAAGATGATTGGAAGGGAGGCAACTAGCCCTTTAACGGGACAAAGATGCAAGTTATCATTTCCACTGAAGTGAATTGTTCCCAGCTGGCCTCGCATATCATCAACATTCCTATGTTTTCTCTGACCTCCCCTGACAAATTTGAGGCTATCTGCCAGCGGGGGAAGCCTGACTTTATATGGTCAAGTATGCAGGGGAGGCTGTCTGCAACTCTCTCTCTGTTTCCAAAATAGCCACTGCCTCATCTCGGGCATCAGGACAGGGAGGGATTTGCCAAAGCTATCAACACTTTTCAGTCCGTCTGGTTTTTCTATTTATGTCCACTGACGCTGCGGGGGAATTTCAACATGAGTAAACAAGGGGAGTTTTGATCGGAAGGAATGTGTAGTGTGGTAGTTTTGAACTCTGCCCCCTGCTTGGAATTCAATAACAAACAGAGAAGAAGGAAGGAAATGTTCAAGTCAGAAAGAGAAATCTTCATGGCACAAGATATGAATCAGTTTGATTTTCCACATTTCTTTTTCTGGGATGATACCCTTTCCTGTATTGTGAGGAGGATTTTTAACTTTCAATCACAAGTGCCTTCAAGCAAAATTCCCAAACAAATTGCGGGAAAGAACAGAAACAATGCTTTTAAAAATTCTAAATAGTTTGCTTTTTCAGCATTTTAAAATGTAAAAAATAAGCTTGTGCCATGAAGACAAGTCAAAGAAAGAAATACGGATAGAGATTCTTCCAATATTTCAAGACTCTCCAGAGATTTCGTAAAATGGGAGTTGAAAAAAAACTTGTGCTTGGAAAAGGGCAATGTTCTCAAATACTCTGCCAGAACAAATAAAATTTTCTGAAAGACCGCTGAGTGGAAAAAGGATTTTTGGCTTTTCAGTTTCGAAAGATTTACTCTTTGATTTAAACAGGTTTAGGATACTCGAAAGAAGTGCATAGCAGATAGATTCTCAAATATTGGAGGAGTCGTGAAATACTGTTAAAAAATATACCTACACAAAAGTTTACAATAATTTCAAATATGGGCTGGCCAGATGGTCAAGGGTTTAAAATTTTTCTCCAAAGCGTGTGTGCAAAATGAACAATTCTTCAAATGAAGGCTTTCTTCAAAACTGCCTTTTCAAATGAAAATTTCCAATTTAGGAATAGCTTTTATCTTTCATAAAATTTCAAAAGGAAACTTGTGAAATTTAATTTTCAAAACAACTTGACTTCTGGCCATTTGAAAAAGTGAAAAAATGTAGCCAAAAAGAGAGAATGTATTTTACAGCCACTCTGGTTCAAAATCAACCAAATCAATTGTAAGCATTTTTAAAATCAATTTCAACTTGCATTATTAATCATTTTGAATAAAAAATGCATTTGCAAGTTTTTCCTTGTCAAAGAGTTTGTTTTCTTTTTTTGATGTCCTTTGGAGCTAGGATAAAGGACACTGCCAACTTGACAAAAATGTCAAATCTGTGTTCAGCCACGGTGATTATTAAAGGGCATATGCCAATACATTCTCTTGTCTTATCCTAACTTGTGAACATTTAAACTTGTCATCAAACAGAACAATACAAAAGCCAGTCTTTGTGGGGGTTTCAATGCTCAGTTGCCCTTTACAGAATGATGAGGACCCAAACTCCTTTCTAAATTTAAAATGGGTCAATTCTCCTCTTCCTTATAATTATATAGCAGGCTAAATTTCTTTGTTTATCTTTTGTCATTTTGGGGGAGTAAAAAAGTGTCTCTATCAATTCCCTGTGCTGGATTCCTGGCATCAGGCAGGCCCCCATTATTAAAATGGTACAGTCCCTTGAGGTGTGGGCAATGCATTAATTATTGCTTTCCTAACATGCTGGACAATACCACTCAGGGAAGGTTACAGGGATGCTCTATAATAACTTCTCAACTGTTTCCCCATATTCCCCCCTCAAAGGATCTATTCTTAGATACAAGGCAACTGGAACAACCGTCTCATCTTAAATGTTTAGCTGGAAGAGAGAAACACAATTCACATCATCGCATTGATAAAAGAAAAAAAATGTACCCACTGTTAGCGAGAAATACCTATAGTGTAGCTGTTCATTCTTCTTTCAAGTCAGAGGGAAATTTATTTTTGAAAAATATCATTGCAATTTGTTTTGTGACGAGTCTGTCAAAAGTTACCCGGTGGCTCTGCATTTTAACTGCATTCCACAGTTCCTACAATTTCTGCAACTTTCCGGGACCTTGTCAATATTTCGACGGCGAGCCGTCACCTCTGTCAAAAATCCAGTGTCAGGATATTGCTAGGACAACTTTGGAACACGGGTTGCTTTGCAACATTTGCTTAACAAGCATTCGTCTCTCCCTAACATGTAGGCTGGTGGTGGTTGTGTATTTCCGAGACTAAAATTTCAATGACACAGTTGGGGGTTTTGCTGTCGGTGTGTGGTACATGTCTGTTACACTCAAGCAAAATGCTTATTTCCGACTCACGGCTAGACTAACAAATACAATACATAAATTATAAATCAAGGAGTTAATCCGTAAGTGGGATTTGTAGGTATACATGAATAAACAATGAACCGATGCCACTACAAATACATAGGTATTCTGTATCTTGCCATTTCAAAAGTGTGAATGCTCTGACAAGAGTAAATTGACTAATCCAGGCACCTGCTATCAAAGGTCACATGACGACTCTCATCAAACCCCTTGGCGACCCTCTCCTTTGTCCAATCTGCTTCCTCTATCTTGTCTGCGCCGTTTTGAGGAAAACAAACAGATTAAAGTTGTTGCGCATAAGAAGGCAATGTGCATGCTACTTGCTTGGAGTGGGGAGGCAAAATTGAATACGGTGCGTGCAGCATCTGGCGCCATAAATGCAAGCCTGTCCAAGACCGTGTCAAAGGTTTGCTTTTCCCCCCCTCCCCAAAATTGGAATTTTATCGTAAACTGGGATACAATGCTGTAACAGCAGAGTAGCCATGATGACTCTCATTCAAAATGTAAAATATGAATGTTAGTCAGACTATCGGTAACATGCGTAGATTGCAGATGTAAAGGCTTGTGAAAAACTCTTCAAGTGCCTTCAATTTACCATTGTATGCAAATCACTAATGTACATATTGTTGAAATCATCTTCTCTGAACTGGCAGTCAGGATTTTTTCGCCTCAAATTTCAGATTCAGCATGGCCAATATTAGAGCTTGTTTACAACACGCAAGTCCGCACTAAAGAATCTCACTGCATACAGAAATTAATTATGCAAACTGTCGACACGGGCTGACCGTTCCTTTGACAGTAATGTGCGGGCACGGAAGACCGACACAAACCGTGACACCAAAGAATGAAAAACTCTTTCAATTAAAGATGCATGCATCCTGCTGAGGGCTACCTTGAATGGGTTAATCTTTAATCAACTAATGGGCAAGCTCTCCTGGCCAAAATGCACGGTACCGGTAGTTATTTTCCAGTGCTTGTATTAAAGGGCCATCTGGAGTGCAGGGCACCAGTTTTTCATCATTCATGTCACACTGACGCATTCCGCTCTGTAAATGATAAAAAACTTGGGCCTCTATATGGTTGCAACACGCATACGATAAGTCAGGAAGGACTGAGTGCTTTCAATACTGTCCTTCTCAAAGTCAATCACATGTCTCTCCGGGCAAAAAATTCCTGTCAAGTTTTGGTTGCTAAGAGGGGCCATTCCGCATGAGGCAATTCCTCAAATCCCATTATTAATGCATTCCCAATGCCAACCTGAAACATATGGTGTACCAAATGCTTCCCTATCTATTCACTCATGAAAAAAGGAACATTTTTTTTTTCTTTGGACAAATGATGAAAATACTGCCTTGCATGCAGCAAACGAGGATCTGACCTTAGAAGCTAATACAATATCTGTGTGTTGGCATAAACCAAACACTGAAAAAAACAAATTCAAAAGAAATGATGAATTTCTAGTTCTACTACGAGTTGAACAGCAAAATGGCTGTCTTAGTGTTCCGCTTGTTCGATATTTCATACCCTTTACACTCGACTTCAGTTCTCAGTAATCTATTCAAAGCTCATGCATTTTTTTTTTTTAACGGCAGTAAACATTATCATGCAGGAATCGGACAGTAGGTTGTCTTGACGTTGGCATGCATCAAATGACAGTGCAGCGGCAAATGGAATTGATGGTGGAGATACATAGCCATGTACTTGTAAATGTCCATGCTTTGCATTCTTTGGAATGCGTAGAGGGCAGCAAACGTGTCTCTCAAATGCTGAACATCACGCTGTGTGTACCATTTAGTGTCTATAAGCTATCCCCGTGGATCAGGTTCGGATGAGAAATGTTTACAAAGACTACCAGGATTTTAGCTAAAAAGGAGTAAACAGGTTTATGATGTAGGCATTAAGACCTGAGACCTTATTTCAGTAAGCACATCGACATCTGTGCCTAAATGGTTTTATGTATAATGCTAATGTATTACCCAAAAATATGCCTTTAATTTTGTTTATATTATGTGTACAAACGGAAAGAGATGAAATATAAAAAAAAAAAACCTGCATCAAGCACCCTTGAGAACTTAATAGTAAAGAAACATGAGTGTTTTTCTTCGGGTTCAGTTCTTGGCTGAGGTTTACATCCTACTGGCACTAGTAGTCACTATTTTATCAGGATGCTTGCGATAATATAGAGATGAGGTATTTTGATATATCAAATGCATTAATTTAATGATATTTATGAAACTACTGAAACTTGGGTTGACAACACCAATTACCTTAATACAAAAGTGTATCAAATTTGAAAAACATTTCAAACCAATCCTCACTAGTCTATGTGCTCACCCCAATAAGAAATAACCATACACCGATCATTGGAAAAAAATTCACAAATCCGCAGGCAAGCATTCACTGGACAAAAAACTCAGACATAACCACGACATATCCCATCAGGCATTGCAAAACCTTTGCTTCGTTTAAAACCCTTCAAACTTGTAACAGCAACATCTGAGGTCACCCTGTGTTTGAAATTAACATACTGCATGCAATTCTATCTCCTCTGAACGTAAGAAAACACCATATCTTGATGTTATGTCACACTTATCCGTCATATGCAATTATCGCCACAAATACATGGTGGAAAATGTCAACAGACCAAAAAATATTGTGTCTTAATGGAACAGACATGTAGCACACCAGGCAGTGTAAATCGACCACAATGCAACCCAAATCCTAGTTCACTATATGATGCACATTCACGTGATTGGAATCATAGCCCAATCCATTCACTTCTGTGTCAACAACCGACAAAAGCCAGTAAAGATGGAAACCACTAATTTTTTTCTGTGCACACACCAACCTAGATGACTTTCTAACAGCCTTTTTTTATTTTGGCAATGATTCATTCGGGATCTGGGATTACAGAAAGACAAAACGGGGAAAATCAGACAGGATTTTGTATTGTTATGAAGGCTCTATGCCAAGTTAGATTACTGTTCTTAACTTTGGTTCTGGTACTAGAAAATAAAAAAGGCGACCTATGGCACTGGATGCATGGCACTGATTGAATGGGACGAAGTCTTCGGTCCACTTACCCACACCTACTGAGGGGCCAACCGTTTACGTTAGCTCGATCAATCGGGCTGCGAGACCGATTGGCACAATTTTGAGCGTGTGGCTCTTTCAAATGACCTCAATTATAGGACCTCTGGTAGGAACAGAACACAAAGGCAAATAACGGTGGTGGAAAGTACAACAAGCTTGGTCTCATTTCTCTCAGGGGGGACTGGCAGTAGAGAGGTGACGGGAAAAGGAGACAAAAAAAAAATCACTGTGGTGGAAAATGAAGTAGTGAAGTCTGTCGATGGTACCCGACGCTGCAACTTGTTAATGTGATGTGTGAATTGATAGTCTGGTTTAATGTACACGCAGATTAATTAATCAACCAACTGCCATTTTGAGTTTAAAAATATTAGAGAAAGTTTGGAAAACTGTTCAAAAAGATTGTTATGCTTGACAGTAAGTGACATAGACTGCTGTGAGTTTTAAATAGAGGAGACATTGAACTCAATGTGAGGAAAAAAGTGGTGAAATTTAACAAAGGTTTATCAACGTAAGGGTGCACATTTACGCGACTCCTAACTGGGTACTGCTTTCTACTGAGAGTATACTCTCGGCCAATCAGAACTGGTGTTACACGACAGACTTCAATACTTGGCTTCCCTCACCACAATGGCCATCATAGTCGTCATGGTGATATAGATATATAGATATATATAATACACGGCTGTGTGGCTGTGGTTAGCGTGACATATTTTCACAAGAAGCACTTCATGAGAGTAGGTCCATGCAAAATACATCACACCAACCAAACACCTCATCATTCATACTGCTAGAGATAATAACATCAGCCGTACAAGACCAGCCTTCGTAAAAAGAAAAAAAATTGAAAACAAAAAAAAAAAGAGTACACTCGAGTGTGTGTTTTTTAACAACTTTCTAAAGAGGATAAATCTTACGAAACAACATGCACCTCAATTTTGCGCCCCTCAACAATTGAGCCGTTCAATTTCTCTCTTGCCCTGTCGGCGTCGGAACTATTTTGGAAAGTTACAAAACCGAATCCCTGCATGCATGGGAGGTAAATAAAAACAAGACATGCAACACATTATAAAAATCATGCATAAGTACAGGAGAGAACATAGGTTTTTTTTTCTTTCTGTTCTGTTGTAGTTTTGTGGTGGTAATTTGTTTTTAACATTCAGTTTTTGATGGTTAAAAAATGTGCAGAAATGTGGCTTGAATGTTTTGCAATACTGACAGATTCGTGCACGGTAAGGCTTTTGATGTTGGCAGGCAGAGAAGGGGGGCGGAGCTAAGAAGGGGGCTGGGAATTAGAAATGCACATCGGACATTCATGAAGGGAATTAAGATGCTTGTGGGAGCAATGCCAACTACTTACTATCAGCCACATTTGAACGGAGTATTTATGAATGCCATTCTTAAATATAAGGAGGGAGACGGTTGTTAATGGAGAATTAGGAGAACATTTTAGCTTGAAACCATGGCAACAGTTGATTAACTCAAAAATCTCCAAAAGTAAACAATAAGAGAAATGTATTCCATGAACATGAAAAAAACAGAATCACTTTGTATTTTTTTTCGTTCAGATGAGATTTTCAACTTATCTTTAATAGAAACGACTGCAGATTTGAACTTCAATGAGTTTCAGACGGAGATCATCTCCAGAGTTTAAAATATTATTAATATGTTATTTAGTTTTATATTTGCAAACATTCTGCATTAATCACATGATGTGTAATTCAAACGTCAAGACAAAAATCAGCATCGTGACGAGCTGCCTATTTTTGTTGCCATGGTAAAAAAAGTTGTCAGTCCTGAGAGAGGTTAACAAGAAATATACTGAACATTCAAAATGAAATTGTGAAGGGCCGCCATCACACTTGTCCATGTCCTGATCTTAAAAGAAATATTTTTCAGCTGGCGTTACTTTCAGTAAATTCTGACGATTAAAAGTATTAAAGACAAGTTTGGCTGTCTAAGACAATGGACCATCGTGTGTGCAGTGCTCACTTGGGGGGCATGGTTGTTGAGGTTTTGGGAACTCTGACCAGCCAACGATTGGGTACCAGTGAATGATGTGTACATGCCGGACTAGTGACTGAATGAGAACAGTTTGTTGGTGTGGAGTGAACGGCCAAATTGGATGCACAGCCACGGCTCACAGCAAGTTAAAATGATCAGTCTCAGTGCTGACAAGATTTGAGGGGATAAAAGGGCAGAGATTGTTGCTAGTTTTTGTCAGTTAGAAGCAATGGATCAAGTACTAAGTGTCAAAATACAGCTATGTGTTTCTGGAATACAGCATCAGGTTTTCTTTCTTTACATTCAACATGATAAAAAGCAATGGATACATGAAAAACAATGCAACATTGTAACAATGCAAGTAACGCTGTACACTGCCTCATCAAAGTCACTACTGACTACAAAGCATGTTATTTCAAAACAGCACCCACCTTTAATGATTTTCTACTATGGTGATTCAGAAATTCTAATACAAGTTTTGAATCCTTTGTCAGTTCCAGAACTTCTTGGTTTTTTTTTAATACTCTGCATCAAAGCAATATGTTGCCTTGTACACTGTACAGCTAGACATCCAACTAGTTGGACAAAAAGTTTCCTTGTTTAAATAAAAACCAAGACTCAACCTTTCAAAACTTTGAATTCATCCAAGCATTGGAAAAAATCTCAACAGTTTTTCTTGATGGGTGTCGCAAAATGAGATGGGGGAAAAAATAACAAGAAAATAAACAGTTGTCAGAAATCAATTGCTTTGCCATTAAGAAACTCTCCCCCATCTGGAAAAATCTTTGGAGTTTTATCATGCTTGAGTTATACATGTATACATTAAGGTGCAGAGATAACAATTTGACACAAAATTTATACTTCGTAAGTTGATTTATTTATAACTAGTTGCGTTTTAGTGCCAGTGAGAGTGATGATGATGATGAGACAGTGCAAAGCTAGCAGGAGCATAGTCCTTGTCAGCTGCTGTGGATAAAAAGAGAAGAGGTCAAGCAAGAGACACAAATGAATGCAATCAGTGGGTGATGGGGAAGGATTAACACCCAACATGGCTGGTGTATGGCCGGTGTTCAAATAGTGTTCTAGCTGGTATTTGGCTGGTGTTTAGATGGTGTTTTCTGGAATGTAGCTGGTGTTGGATGAAAGATGATTGGTGTTAAGATTTATGTTTAACTGGTTTAACTTTAATTTAACTGACTGGTTTTGAGATGCTGATGGCTATTGGTGTACAGGTGTTTGGGGCCGGTGTGCAATGTGATTGGTCAACGGTGTTTTGGTGGTTTTTAGCTGGTACATACCGGTTGTTGAGATTTGGTTAGTGCTTGGCTGACAAATACCTGCTATAAATGTGCCTGGTATATGGCCGAGATAAGTATTTGTCTGATGTCTGGTTTGGCTAGTTTGTAGCCCATCAATGGCTGGTATTTTGCAAGTATAGAGTACCTGATGTTTGGCTGGTGTTTTAATTATGTTTCGTTGGTTTATAGCTAGTATGAGGTGAATGCATGTGCTTGAATGTGGCTGGTGTAAACTGGGGGCCAATTTCATGGAGCTGCTTAAAAACAAAATTTGCTTAATTGCAAAAAAAACTTTGCTTGATAAATTGGTTAAACAGCCAAAATTCCATGTGATTTTATTGTTTTGGGATTGTATTTAGCTGTTTTTTGGTTAGCATGACAATCAGATAGAGTTTGAGCTGGTCACCTTTGTTTATTAAGCAAAGTTTTTTCCCGCTTAAGCAAATTTTGTGCTTAAGCAGCTCTATGAAATTGGCCCCTGGTATTTGGCCAGTGCACAAATGTACAAGTACATGCACAATGTACAAGCAAGGCCTGTGTATGGCCTGTATTAAGAACTATTTTAGTTGAGAATTGGCAGCATGCAACTGGCTCACTATGTTATGGTTTCCTGGTGTACAGATTCGGTTTGGGAAGTAATTTACAGTACTGTCCACCAACATTATCACTATGAAAATTTCACAACTGGAAGGGACAGTGTACCTACAGAAAGTTTATGTCTGTTGTAGACCTATTGGGGAATCAGTGAAGGGTTTGAGTTGGAAACTGTTTAGCAAATGTGCAACGAGTTTGCAACATGTCAACCAGTGGATATATTGGGTAGTTTGCAAATAAAGAACGAATCCCGTGGCCCATCTTGAAATTCTGCATCACTGGAGTTGCATATGAATAGTATTAAAGAAGGTAAACATACATGGAAAGCAAAAGAGTAAGACTACGGGCTCCGTGTATTAGCAATAATCCCCTTTCGGGTTGACAACACTGGCTGATATTTTGCTCTTTGTGCTGTGCTGTTTGTTGTTTATGTACTGTATAAAAGGTTCCTCGTCTCTCCAGTGCCATTCTCCCCATGAGTAACATGAGATGTGGAACCTGGGGGATAGGGACCAGGCAGTCGGCCCAGGCTTTCTGTTGTTAACCAATGAGGGGGTACTCCTACACAGAGACGGCAAGCTGGCTGAAATTGAAATTATCTTTTGCATGGCTTGCATTCAACTTGTACACGGCAAATACTGTACATGTATGTACATGATGTCATGTGGATAGAATGTCTTTAAACATGTGCTATGATGACAGTGGAGTTTGTGCAAGATTTGTCTGCATTTTGCATGCAAGGCATGTGCAGCAGACACTGGGATCTGAATTTGGACCATACAGAGCAGCCATGATGGGGGTCACCTCCAGCAGAGGTCAAAGGTCAAGGTGCAGAAATCAGAAGCAGATGCACGATGCACAATGATGAATTAAAATGCGTGTGATAGAGCTTTTCTTAATGTTTGCCCTCCACCTGGGTGCTTTGGTAGGGCCACTGATACGCTATGGTAACAGATTTAATTTGCAAAAAGATAAAAACAAATAGTGCCGTCTTTTTGCATCAAAACAAAATGGCTTTTTTAAATTTGGGGATTTTTTCCTCTAATGTCAAAAGTACCAAGATAAGGCAGCAACTGCGATAAAAAATTCACATGGTAACAAACAAATGTGTCATCTTGATATAAAGTACACAATAGAAACAAATAACAGTGTGTACAAAAGGAAGGAGAGGGGATTCACAAAGAAGGCCACATTTATCATTCCTACAAAAAAAAAAAAAAAAAGCTCACAAAAACTGGCCCCATCTAGACATTTGGGTCTCATGCCTGGGCCAGAACCAGATGGGCCAGAAATAAATTTCACACCCATATGCTGTGTTTTGAAGATTTGTGCAAGAACGGTGCAAACTGTGAAGGTGCATTCCATCAAGCCAAGGCAGACCACAACTCTACCATTCCTGTGGCAATTCAGCAATATTCGTACTAAACACCGAAACAAATACACCTTGAAGATGAAGAATATTGCTTTTGGAGTAAAAATCACTACGGAAGCTTATACCAATGGAAAAAGCATTGACATTCTTGTTTCTCAACATTAAGTAAATTGTTAAATGAAGTGGGACCTAAATTTTTGATTTAAATATTTTGACGAGACCTCCATTGCTTTTCAGAGAGTCCACAGATTTCATGAGCATTTCCCCCCCCCATATTTTGCCGGACATGCACAACAACCAAATCTAAACTCTGAAATCTATGTGTATCTGTGAGTTTTAGCATGCTATGAAGAAGTACTTCCTGGTTGTACAATTTGTAACCCTCTGAATTAGGGGAACAGAACCCTCCCCAAGTCTCTTCGTATCCAAGGGAAACTTAGTTTTCCTTCGTGCAGCCTAAAAGGTAACTTGAGTCACCCACAAGCAATGCTCATGGAGGTTGACATGTTTGTCACTAATCCTTTCCTACCCTTCTTTGATTTTAGACTTAAATCAGTTTCTCAACAATGGGCAATACATGTATTTCCACCCCTTGTCTCAACACCTCAGTTAAAAGCTATAGTGACATTTCCTCACCAAGGTTTTACGTAAAATCCTTACCTGCGGAAAAGAGTTCGCCTGACTAGTCAAAAATGGTACGTGTTCATGCAGTCTGTTGACTGCTATCATTTTCCTCCCTAAATCACCTGATTGTGTCTAAATGTCACTTTGTATATATACACATGTGGTCAAATTGTTCAAACTTGCATTGAGAGTTGTGGTTGCCTCAGCTGATGAAAAAAAGTAAATAAATAAAAAGAGCACACAAGTGCATGAAACTAAAACTCAACTTTGAAAATAAGAACCACCGACATTCAAACACTATGCACTTCAAACCACACCAAGACACTGTGTACAAGGCCTGTACCCCCCATGCTGATAAGTTTCAAAGAGGGGCATGCATCTAAGGAACAGGTCTACAGACCTTCAAAGTTTTGAAGTTAATTTAAAAGCATCCCCCTTATTTTGTAAATTTGTTCCCCTTGACAACGTGTTGGTACCAAAGTTGAAATCAATGGCAATAAAGAACGTATGAGGAACACTGTTATCTGTTCTTTCGTTGGCTTGATCGTTGGACTCGGCAACTGTCCAAAGTCCTGGCTGAGAGCAATTTAGATTTTGAAGATTTTTTGGCAGTATATCCGTGGCCCCCCCAAAATTGTGTAAACTCACACAGAAAACAAAAAATTTGCAATTATAAGTGCCGTTCTCAAAGCAGCCTAGAAAGAAAATTGTACTATTTGTCAAGAAAGTGAGAGCATGACACATTTGGATGTACATGTTTCAGAACAGGATTTGCTGCCAAGATTACTTTGGTGTATCATTTGGTGCTGCAAAGCAATTCAGATGGATGACATGGCATGACGGTGAAACGCAGCCAAAATGACGGATTACAAAGAAACCTATGTTTCTCTCCTTTTGTGTCAATTATTAATTCCTTGGGGTTGTCTTTGTGTTCTTTCTTTCTTTCTTTTTTTCATTCAAACAGGTTCAATCATGAGCTTCATTTCTCTTCTCTCTTCAATGCTTTCATACTGGTGTGCAATCCAGCTCTCAGTGGAAAATTAGGATTATTAAGCTGAAACACGGCCAGGAAAAAAAAAGGTTTTGGAGATTTGTCATGTCTGGTAGAAAGCCTACGAGACTACCCAGGCTGGTCACTGTCTCAGGTGTTGTGATCAATCTCTTGCGCTACATGTATATTGAATTTTGGACCGTCTTGACATGAATGGGATCAGACAGATGAGCTGTGCAAACAGACTGTGTAAAACTGAGCCAGGAGCATCAACATGTTCAGTGAGGAAAAGGTTCAAGCATTGACCTGTAGGCCAGAAGGCCGAATGGGGAACTTGAAACAGACAGTTCTGGGACAGAAGCATGAGGTGTGATAGGTAGAATCTCCTTCATTCACATCAATTACAGGACCTGTCTGCTGTGTTTCTTTTGAAAGTACATCCGCTAGCGTGCTGGTGCAAAGTATGCCAAATAACATACGTGTTGCAGGAAAGCAGATTGGGTATCCGCCAAACAGGACGGCGTACGCCTCATGCAATGAATTTTTGAGCAGGGTTTCAATGACGGGAGGTCACAGCAGAATCATCTGGCAGGTTTGTGCAACGGGGTAATGCGTACCCAAAACAATATGCAGTGTGCACATGTGCTTTAGTCACAAATAAGAAGTTCTTCTACGAGTTGCTAGGAGAAATGAGACAGTGACGAGACGAGGGGTAGCTCCGTGGTCTCAACTCCCTCCCATAAACAAGACTTCCCCTCCCACAGAAAAAAAAATGCATTTTTTTTCACCAAGATGTGAGATAATTAACAATCACAGGCAACACCTCTAAGAACTGAGTGCCTCATGCACAAACCGAAGATGTCAGTTTCAAGTCACATTGTAAGTTTGCACTTTCCAATCCAAGACATGCTTTTGATCAAACTTTTACTCTGACTTCTCTCTCACCCCCTCACCATGAAATTTTTTTCCAATCAAAGAGGCTCCTGCAATGCTCCTTGTGCATGACCAACAATTGGCAGTGAAGTCAGCCAAAGAAAAGGCCATTTAAGGGGGCTACAGTGGTCAGATGGTAGCCAATGTAGACAATACAATAAAAATTAACCTCAGCTGACAAAACAACATACTTGTGGCTTTTAAAGGTTGTGTGCAGGGCGTGAGCTAAAGTAGCCAAGTTTGCATCTGCAAGAACTTGCACTGAGCCAACAAAAGCTACCACAGCGAACACAGATAAGGATTTTATCAAGCCAAGCATAGTGGCAATATTTCAAGTATCCCCAAAAGTCACAGGAAAGGGTAACCGGTTGCTTTCCTGCAGTAAGTTAATTTAGTGGGTAAATTTCATCTTACACTAGATTCCTGGTCAAATACTTTCCAAGAGCTTTTCTACTGCCAAATATCGAGCTGTTTGTTGTGAGCAAGTGGAGTGACACATTGACAGTGGAAAGCTAAAGAAGTCAGTGTGAAAGAGGAAACTTGTAACTAGGTTTTTAAGAATGCTTGTCAGTTAAACGACTGGAAAGAAGCACTTGAAAAGTACTCAGTAAGCACTTCTCAAAAATTTCTGTCTCTAAAGCATAGCTTGTATGAAATTCTGACTGTCTAAAGTCGTCTATTCTTTTTAATATTTACTGTTTTTAACAGCTTCAAATGTATCTTAAGGGGAACTTGGAAAGTACCTGACCACCAGTAAGTCTTGCACAAGGAGCACAGCAAACACCTCCTTCGTCAACGTACGTTTTGGGGGTGAATTCAAATATCGAGGAAACCGGCATACCAATTGATCTCAGCATCATTACCAAGACCCCCGCAGTTGACAAAAACTGAGTAAAATCTTTTTTGGGATGCCCGAATGGTTCAGTTTACACACTGGATGAAAAAGTTTGTGAACATTTTTTTGTCGGATCAGTGTAGGAATTCACCTGCATGCAGAGACCAAATATTGCAGCGACTCACAGAAATCAAAACTGAAAACTGGAGAGCCAACCTGCCCTCTCCTTTGCATTGTTGTCCTGACCCTTGACCCTTGACTCCACCCTCTCTAAACAGCTGTGAGAAGTCTGAGAAAAAGTTGCTGTCCAAGAAGCACGGGATTATTTCTTTCCTTTTCAAACTCATCAATACACATGCGGCAAGGCACATTCGGCAATTTATATTGATCAAAAACACATGCATCAGTCAAACAGTTGAACAGCAAAAGAACTTAATAATAATTATAACAACAAAATAAATAAAACAAAAGAAGCCCACAGAAAACTTGGATACATTCCAAAAAATCCATTTAGGATTATCATGCGCATTCAGTTTGTTTTGGTTCATAACAAGCATGCGAAAAAAAAAAGACACAAATTGGGTGTCACATGACTGAACGGGGAAAGGGTCACATGACTGGTACAGGGCAGACTCACCTTTGACCCCCGCTCATTGAAGATAATTTCTACATCGATGATGGGACCAAAGGGCTGAGAAGGCAGAGAAAATGAAACAGGGAAAATGACACACTGAACAGAATTTAGACAAAATTTACAGTAAACCTTAATCAGAAAGAACTACTTTTAAACAATACACAAATGCCAAAATGTGTCATTTTAGCAGAAGCAATTCCATTTTAAAACTCCTGTCTTAGTGTCTTTAAATACTGAATGGTAAGTTGTTTGCAAGTTTAGACTGTGTTCAGGTTAACTTTAAGCTCTACACTTAACAATTTAACAAGGCAGTTCCACCTAAACATCAAGCATTTTCTATCAAATTAAAAACAAAACAGTTGTTCACAGTAATTCTGTGGTCTCATCCCCACTGACGTTAGTCTGATCACACCCATGATGACAGGAAGGCAAAAGAATATAAACCAATAATGATGGTAGTTCTCCTTACCCCAAAGAGGACCCTCAGGTCTGGGTCCCTAAACCTGAAGGGGATATTTGATACATGAAGCCTCTTGGGCGTTTCGCCAGGCTTGGCGGCCGGTAGAGCTGGCACCGTGGCCTGACCCACCTCCCCTGATGGAGGCGCTTGTGATGTCTGTGCTTGTTCACCCTGCAATCACGGAGAAAAACAAGCCGGAGAAAGACACGATTTAGACATATGGACAAAAAAAAGTTTGGTTCCAATCTGCAAGGAAGTGGGGGGGGTTCTATTGACAAAAATGGCAAGGGCATAATCATGATGGTAATGCTCATTTAAAAATTTCACTAATCTGCCAACACGGAAGTAGATGTTGAGCAACTAGACTGTTGCTACCTCTGCTCACAGGGCCAATAAAACATTCCTAAGACCATCTCAGCTCTTGTGGGGGTCCAAAACTTAAAGCTGCCCTTTGCAGAATCGGTGGCTGAAATCAAGTCAAACTTTACAGCCACCTCTACCTTCCAAGGTACATGTATTTCTTTGATGAAGGAAGGATACTTGTGGATAAATGTCCTGTCCAAGGACACACCAAACTCAGCCAAACGTGGACTAATGATGCAAAGACCCTAAGATCTCTGCCCCATGCCCACACACTTCAAACCTAATCTCCAGATTTCTGGGACAGCTGTGACAATTTACAGCCACTTATTCGTCATTCAATGCAACTTGCTGACCAATCACCCAACCGGTTGTATACTACTACCCTGTTAATTTGTCAGGCAAAATGAGTAATGCCCAAATCACAACTGGACATCCAAACCATTCAAATTTGTGAACCGTTGAGGTGTTCGGTGATTTGGTCACGTGAACTTAGCCACAGTGGGGGATCTGACTGAATTTTTGTCTATTCCTTGACACCCAGAGCCTGCTGCCAGGCATGGGTGGACAAGTGAAACAATGCTTCCAAATGCAGCTTGAAATGCCAGGGTCAGCATCGATTGTTTAACTTTAACAGCGGACCAGGAAAACAGAGATCCAGATCTCTTTCAAGTCAGCCTTGTCTACATCCAGGGTTCTGAGTCCAGATTGGCAGATGAACATACTCAGGCTGGTAACATCCAACCGGGACATGGATCTGAGCCAAATTTGTCAAGCTGCCAAAATGGGTATCGATTGGTAATGCGATCATCCGATTCTTCCTATGCCAAGTCATAACTCAGTCCTTGACGATGTTACAATAACACAGTCACTTGAAACAGTGAGAGAACAGGATGAGGACATACCATGCCAAATCCCTTGGCAAAACTGAAGCAGCGACAACAAATATAGCTGTCAGTCAAGGTATAAATTTGGTCATAATCCACAGCCATTGCCCTAGCTCTTACCACAGCCTCAGTCATGGATGTCATGAGAGCATTAATCATAGCAATACTACCCGCAAAACTCAAGACTAAGCCTTGGTTGCAGCCTTGACAATAATCCCAAGAACGCACACAGCATACCAGTAACTACTGGCCAGGCTGATCATATACAATCTGCAAGTGCTGTGAAACATCGCTGACTCACCATTTGTATGCTGCACCACGCTGCCTGCCTACCACGACGACATGCCCCCCTGACTTCCTTGCATAACAATGCCCCTCCTTGAGAAATACTGCACGCAACGGGGAGGATAAACTTCAACCCCTGAACAACTCCTCCTACAATGTGACTAATGTCTGATAAATCTGATGTCTGCAGAGAAACCCAAGTCACTGTACGCAGGACTTTCCATGTCGCACGCTCCTGCGCCCACGGAGTGCTGATGTGTGGCGAAGCGTCCCACAAACCTTTTTTTCAGACGCTGTCAGTGGATTAGCGTTAATGGTTCCACGCCGTATCTTTTAATGACTTGCCCGAATATGATATTCAGTCTGGCTGGTAGACCCATCAACATCTATCCCGAGTACGGCAGGGCCCTCGGTAGGAATATAAACATTTATAGAGTCTTACTATGTCAACTGGAAGCTGAGAGTAGACATGTACAAAACCGTGAAATGACGTTACACAGTTTTATTTCACCAGATGTCGACACTCTAGTACGATGAGTGTTAGTGTATCACATACATGGTGTACATGTACATCAAATGCTGTTTACAATGGGACAGCCTATGGTGGTAAGACATGCACATCTGCAGAAGTGGATTCATTTGGCCTACAGTTCGCGTACATTCCATTTTTCACCAATAATAGTGATGCAGTATTCTTTCGTGTGCATTCAATTGTTTGGGCTGATCTACATGTTTTGATTAGTGACGTGCACCCTAAACCAACATGGAAACCTGGATGACAATATGATTGAAGGCATGTTATTTCAAGGATGGATTTGCGCCTGGAAGATGTAAATTAATTTTGGATTTTTGCCCTGCCCCGACGTGTATTTTAATAATGTATACTCAGCGGATACTCAGCCCAAACAATTGCCAAATGTTGGCCCCTCAAATTCAAACGCAGCAATCAAGAAATTGACATTACAGAACACTTGCCAAAATGTGTTCAGCTTTTAAGTTTAAAATGTTCAGACATGATCTATGGGGGCATGTGGCCT